CCCCAAAACCCCAAAACCCCAAAACCCCAAAACCCCTCGTATATCTATTTAAATGAACTGCCATTTTTAATTTTAACAATTAACATAATATTTTGGTCACATGAAAAGTACACTGCAAGAGATTCATCAAAAATACGAAGAAAGCAAGAAGGAAGGTACGTAATCAGCTCCAAAAACTTTTCTGTGGCCTAAATCATCCAGTTCAAGCTGGCTAGCTACATTCTGTGTCTTTAACGAAAATTTGTGCCTACATAGAGCCTTGGTAGTAAAACGCGGGATTTTTGAGTAGGGATTTTAGGAATTTAAACGTATGGATGTTGGTATTTGAATGTTTTAGGAGAGTTAAGAGAGGTTGTAAAATTTTGAGGTTGAAGGATTTTTGGAGATTTTAGGTGATTTTTAGCTTTTTTAGGTGAATTTTAGGAAATTCCTTCTTTGATAGTATTGAAGATCTGGCTTAGAGACATAATATAGTATCTTCTTAAGCGATTTCGAGGAGTACATTATGAAATTTGAATTAATGAGCAACTTTGGAGCTTTGCCATACTGCACCAACGTTAAAATCAAGGAAGTAGAGCTCAACTCTTCTAAACATCAGCGGCTTCTCTGTTTAACATCTTTGGGTCTAAAAGTTATGAAAAAGTACAAAAATGTGGTAATAGAGCTGTTTCCTTTGGATAACCAGTCGGAATCCATTTGAAAAAGTGCTCTTTAAATCTCCTGATCTAGAGGACTTTATTATAATTTAACAATTTATGCGTATCTTAGTTTTATTTCAGAGCAAAAGTAGCAGAATTATTGGTGGGTTCTAGACTTTGTATCCAGAGAAATTATCCATTTTTGGACGTACCTCTAATCTTGTTCTTTAGGGATCCTATCCAGATTTCGGCATCATTGCAAGTCTATGAGAGGGTATGCACGTATTGGAATGTCACAGCTGAAGTCACATCAAAATGAATTCTCATGGAGGGTATTACGTCATAAGTCATTGCAGAACTGGAAATCAAACAGTTATTATTTAAATTTTAAAAGAAAATTTGAGAACCAGGATTTCATGAAACTAAAGATGTTTTCTTTGATCTTGGTCTTAGCCATATTTTGTAAGTTCCGTAAGATCAAATCATGCAGTTCCTTGAAAAGAAAATATAGCCTATCTGCTGCTTATTTAAGTCAGATGGCACTAAGATTGGACAGAAGATGCTGTTCTTCAGCTCACCTGAAAATGAGATTCTTTGTTTTCTAAATGACTCTACTCAAATCTTCCAAGCAGGCTAGATTTGCTAATTGCTTGAAGTTTCGAAAGATCTTTACATCTGCTTTCCTCAGGGGAACAGATGGAGTATCTTTAATTTCGTTCACCGACAATTCAATTTAAATTCTTCACTTTGGGGTTTTGGGGTTTTGGGGTTTTGGGGTTTTGGGG